GGGCAGGCATTCAGTCTAATGGTTAAGTTGCTAGCTAAATTGCCTATGTCTCACGCTGTATTACCTGGGTTTGATTCCTGGACCTGGCTCTTCTCTCCCACTTGCTGTTCAGGCAGATCCTGAGAGTAAGTGGTGATGGGAGAGGGACAGAGCCAGCCAAATAGATATCTGCCATCCACAGTTTCACTCCTCAAATGCCTGCCAACAGCCACAACTGAGCCAGGCTTAAACCAGGAGCCAGAAACTCAATCCAGCTCTTCCCACAGGATGGCAGGGACCCAACAACACTTGAGCCATCACCTGCTGCCTCCCAGAGTGCTCATTAGCAGGAACATTTGAATTGGCAGTGGAGCTAGTCCTTGAAACCTAGCACTCCAACATGGGATAGAGGCATTCCCAGCAGCATCTGAACCACTACGCCAAACACCTGTCACCCAGGAGAAAATGAAACAATAAAAATTATTTTGTCTCTTTTTCTTGAATATAAATAAGGAAAAAAAAATCTTATTCCTAAAAAGTACTGTTCTCCAAGGTTCTGTAGTGGATTGAGGACAACACAGCAATGAAATGTATATTCCTGAGAATTTAAAGAAGCACTGTGTTCACTAAGATTGCCGCATATCAAAACATGAAGTCAGTAGACATTGAGAGTAGAATGCACCACTGTAAGGCATCCTTAGGATTTCTGAATAGTCTACACAAGCCTGACACTGTCATCTGTTGACAAGCAGATCTTGGAGTTTTGCCAGAAGGGGATAAAGCCCTAATCCTAACAATCCGGCAAACAAAGCATCTTTGATTGCTTTAACTCTTTCATGAAATTCTTACCATTGAGTGCTTCAGTAAAAAATAAAGCTGTTAACAATCTTCAAATGATTCTACATACTCAAACTCTCATTTCAAGAAAGGTCAATCTACAAGTATCATGTCATTGATTGGGAATGAATAGACCCTGGATAGCAGTCTTAGTTTGTCCATAATTATAGATTATTATTACATAATATTATTATTATAGTTATGATAAATACCTAGATGTTTGTGTACTGTTAGAAATTTACATAACTGTAACTGGAGGACAAATCTGTCTATATAAATACAGTCTTGACACCAGTCCCCAAACAGTACATATATATTTTTAAAGATTTATTTATTTTTATTACAAAGTCAGATATACAGAGAGGAGGAGAGACAGAGAGAAAGATCTTCCGTCCGATGATTCACTCCCCAAGCGAGCCGCAACAGTCGGTGCTGTGCTGTTCCGAAGCCGGGAACCAGGAACCTCCTCCTGGTCTCCCACATGGGCGCAGGGCCCCAAGGCCCCAGGCTGTCCCTGACTGCCTTCCCAGGCCACAAGCAGGGAGCTGGATGGGAAGTGGAGCTGCCGGGACTAGAACCAGTGCCCATATGGGATCCCAGGCATTCAAGGCAAGGACTTTAGCTGCTAGGCCACACTGCCAGGCCCTCATATTTTTAGGGAAATAGATCTAAATAAATCTAATTTATTGCTCTGTCAGAATAGTGAGTGCAAATGTTCTTTAAGCTGTTGTTAAATTTAATGATACTGCTTCCTGTGTGTAGTTGAAACGTCACTAACACTAAAATATCCTTAATTTGGTTTCTCTTTAATCTGGTGTTGAAATTTTAATATGTGTATTAATCTGTGGAACTTCTTGCAAGTGCTGCAATTTCTAAAGTTTCAGATGCAGAAGACCTGAGGAAGAATCTAGCATTTTTTAAGGTTTTTTTTTCATATTTGAAAGGTAGAATTAGAGAGCGAGGAGGAGAGATAGAATCTTCCAGCAACTGGTTCACTCTTCAAATGGTCACAATGGCAGGGGCTGTGCCAGGCTGAAGTCTGGAGCCCAGAGCTTCATGTGGGCTTCCCATGTGGGTGAAGGGTCCCGAGCACTTGGGTCACATTCTGCTGCTTTCCCAGGTGCATAATAGGGAGCTGGACCACAAGCAGAGCAGTTGGGACCAGAATTGGCACCCATATGGAATGCTAGTGGATGCCTAAACCACTACATCACAATGTCAGCCCCTATTAGATTTTTAACCAAACACCTCAGGTAGTTCTGCTATCATTCGTAGGCTATACTATACTCTTAAAAGTATAATTTCTTTTTGTTTGCTTGTTTGTTTGCTAATTCTTTTTTTCATAATAAGGTTCCATAGGCACAGGGATATCCCCTCCCATGCCCTTACGCCCTCCTGTCGCTTTTACCCGCTATATCATTACAACAGTATATTGTTCAGCAACAGTCCTAAGTCCATTATTCTGCTATTTAAATGTGTCATGACACTGTAGGTATAGATGATGGCAGAGAATCCAGCATTCTATTGTCTATTCTTCAACTAAAAAAAAAGTATATGTCTGCACAAAAAAATTCCGTACATAAATCTTACTTTACTTTAGAGGATTATAATATTTACCTAATTCTAAAATAGTACTAGTTAAAGGTTCTAATTAGTCATTTACCTTATAGGAAGAACATGAGGACAAGTGACAAAGGACTATACTTCCCTGTAAATTTTATTAAGGTCTCCACAGATAGTAGATATTCAAGGAAAACATGGAGGCTCAGAAAGGGGTTTGGAGACTAAAAGTGTTATTTATCTTTTAAATCTGGAAGAGACCTAACGGATGTCATTTAAACCAAGGAACAGCATATCAAAGCCTCTGGGCAAAGGGGTGGGTCATATCTTGCTCACCACCTGATTTGCTATTCAAATTGAAACAAGAATAACATTTCCGTCATGTAAAGGTTATAAGGAACTCATATTTTTCTGTCTATAAAGTTTCACTGGAACACAGCCATGCTACTCATTTACATATTGTCTGTTTTTATACTGCAATAGCAGATATGAAGTAATTGTGACGCAATTTTGCCAAACACAAACCTTTCACATTTTATGTAATCAAATTCATCAGTATTTTCACGATTTTTGACTCATAACTAAAATGAATTTTCTTGGGGGCCAGCACTGTGGCATAGTAGGCTAAGCTTCAGTCTGCCTACCTGACATCCCAAATGAGTGCCAATTGGTGTCCTGGCTGTTCCATGTCTGGTTTAGCACCCTGCTTATACGAAAGCAGTGAAGAATGGCCCAAGTCCTTGGGACCCTACATCCGTGTGGCAAACCTGTAAGAAGCTCCTGACTCCTGGCTTTGATTCAACATTGGCTAGTGCAGCCTCCTGGTTTTAACTTAGCCCAGCTGCACCTGCTGCAGGTTTTTGGGCAGTGAACCAACAGATCAGAGCTCTCTGTCTGTCTTTTGAAATAAATAATTACATACTTAAATACTTATAACCAATTAGAATACATTGAATATGTATTAAAATCCATGCATCCATAATAATATTTTTTAAATGCTTATCAAAAGGGTGAAAAATGAAATACAAGTAAAAGTCTAGGACCAGATTATTTCACTGCTGAATTCTATCAAACTTTAAAGGAAAAATTGGGCCTGGTCCTGTAGCCTAGCAGCTAAAGTCCCTACCTTGCATGCATCAGGATCCCATATGAGCACCGGATCTAATCCCAGCTCCCTGCTTGTGGCCTGGGAAAGCAGTCAAGGATGGCCCAAAGCCTTGGGACCCTGTACCCGCGTGGGAGACCCTGGAAGAGGCGCCAGGCTCCAGGCTTCAGATTGCCTCAGCTCCGGCTATTGCAACTGCTCGGGAAGTGAATCAACAGAGGGAAGATCTTCTTCTCTGTCTCTCCTCTTCTGTATATCTGACTTTCCAATAAAAACAAATAATTCTTTTTTTTAAATCAGTAAGGTAACACAATATAAAACATACAGAGATTAATAGTTCTCGTGTGTTCAGACTATATCAATAGAAAATGCAATGAAAGGAGATCCCTTATAATAGCAACAAAAAGAAAATAATGAAGCAACTAGCAATAAATCTACAAAAAAAAGATGTAAAACCTATATTAAAAAAAAACTTAAAGACAACACTAATGGATAAAAAATGCAGTGAATAAATGGGAAGGCATTCTCAGAAACACATTTGACACAAGGGTTAAGGTGCACCATGGGGACCTACATATTTGGGTGTCTGATTTGAGTTCTAGCTACTCATAATCCAGCTTCCTGCTAATGTGCATTCTGGGAAGTAGATGATGGCTTAGATGTCCCTGTCACCCAAGTAGGAGACCCAGGTGAGCTTTAGCCCTTTGCGTTGGTATGACCCAGCCCTGGCTATTGCAGACATTTGGGGAGAGACTCAGTAGATGGAAGGTACTTCTCTGTCCTCTTTCTCTTTCTCTTTCTGTCTTTCAAATACAATTAAAATAAACTGACATTTAAAATAACAAAGAAGCACTGGGCATATATTGCAGATGCTCATTTTCTGAATTCATAAATATTAGATTTCAATTCAAATTATTCTAAGGTTTGCTTTAGTTTTCCCTCTCAATTTTCCTCCCCACATAGACAAGTTAATACTTTTTTAAAAAGTTTATTTATTTGAAAGGTAGAGCAGCAGTGAGAACGATTTTCTCTCTATCAGTTCATTCTCCAAGTGCCCTGTCATAGCTGGGGCTGGGCCAGGCCCAAGCTGGGAGCATGTAACTCCACCCAGGTCTCTCATAGCAGTGGTAGGGAGAACCATCATCGATTGCTTCCTAGGGTATCCATCGATAGGAATGGGATTGAAAGCAGAGGTGAGATTCAATCCCAGGCATTCTGAGATGGGATATTGGTGTTCCAACTGGCAAATTAACTCACTGCACCACAACATAATTAGAACCCTGGTGAGATAGTTAAATTCACAAATATTCGGAACTTGTTTAACATAACTTCACTCTTCACAGTATCTCAAAAACAAAACAAAAACCATAAAGCACAAAGTGGTAGGTAGCTCATTAAAAACATTTTTTGAATAACTATGAAATCACTTCATTTTTGTCTTGTTTGTGTGACTACATTATTGTTCTAGCTTTCCCGTGTAAGGAAACAGATCGTCAATTGAAAATATGACAAATTGTACCTGTTGCAGATAGTGTCAGGAACATGAATCTTCAGGTCTTCTGTGACATCTCTCATCACCCTCTGGTAACCAGACATGCCTGGGTCTTTGATATAAAAAGGATTGTTTCTCATTAAATATTCTCCCAAATGATTAATTGGATCAAACTTGGTTACAATGTCAGTTTCTGTTGAAAACTGTTTCTTTTCCATCTGCATTAACATTTGTTCCGCTGCAGGAACCAAGGTGGGTAGAAGCTTATCGAGCAAATATACACGAGTATTCAGTGTCTGGCTTTCGGTATTAAACCACTCTTTGGCCAAATCATCCTTAGGAAGTATCTTCTCAGTCTTTTTTTCTAGTTCCTTCTTCATATTATCCTTATCTATTATTTTTTGTTGCATCGCCTGGGCCCTTGCTTCCACTCTTGCAAAAAGATTTTTCTTCCATGGTTGTTCCAGCTTTGATTTCAGTTCACTTTCATCTAAATCCAAAATCACTTTTGCAGGTTTTCTAATCACAATATTCCCTGAGGTTCTAGGGTCAGAATGAGTTGAAGCTGTTGGCTGCTCCTCCATGGTTAATTCTGAAATTGAGGGCAAGGGGGGAGGGTAGAGAGAGAGAGAGAGATAAGAGATGCAAGATGAAAGAAATATTCAAACTAAATATGAATATACATGTTTAGTATATATATTAAATTTTATATAAAAATAACTAGTATGTTATAAAACTGCCAGCTGAAAATCACACAAGAATCCCTTTAACCATAACAGTACTTACTGTTGACCTAATCAGAATCATTTCATTTAGTACCAAGACTGATTCTACTGTTCCTTCACTTCATTACTTTTCTTGCTTGTACCTCATGATCAACATGATGGCTATCCAGCTCCATGCATCACCTCCCCATAGGAAATAAAGGACTGAGGACAGAAGAATATTCTCCTCCTGAGGCCCTATTTTATTATCCAAGAGAAAGATCCCAGACTCTCTGCTCTAAGACTTCCCTTTCCATTTCAATGGCCCTAACTGGGGTGCCACATCAATCCTTACACTGATCAATGGTAAGATTACTATAAATAGTTTTGCACAGTCATGATTTATTCCTTGATGCCCAAGGTTTGGATCAAACTTCTATGATGTGAAGTGATTTCAATCTGCTGCAAAACTTTAGTGTATTTGGCAGGCAAATGGTGGAGAAATGTGTATTGAGTAAGCATTGGAAAGAATCTATCACGAATTTGAACTGTGGTAATGCAACAAGGTGGAGGAATCCACCATGGGGGGAGGGTCTGGGGACGGGTGGAGGGAATCCCAGTACCTATAAAGCTGTGTCACATAATGCAATGTAATTAATAAAAGAAAAAAGAATCTATCATGTATGTGTATTTAAATATATTTCTTTTTTAAAATATATTTCCAGCCTCTTTCATGTCAACATTTTTAAATTGCAGGCTGGGCTTCTGACTGTTGCTGAAAGATTATTCTATTGTAATAATATGGGAGGAAAAAATTGGGGGGAGGGAGGAGAGGCAGATTGGGGATCCTTATACCTATAAAACCATATTATGGAAAATAATAATTTTAAAATGCAGGATGGAGGTATCAGACTAAGATGGTGGGCTGTGAACGGGTACCTATAGACTCTCTAACACAATCTTTGGAAATGAGAGAAAAGGGATATGTGTGTGTGAGAGAGAACATAAGCACTAGAATTCTGGCAGAAGAACCAGTTATGATGAGATGAGTTAACCTGCCACTTGCTGTGCCATATCCCATATAGGGGCTCTGATTCACATCCTGGTGGCTCCACTTGCTGCTTATGCACCTGTGAAGGCAACAGATAGTGGGTAAAGTATCTGGCCCCCCACTACTCATGTGAGAAATTTGGGTGAAGGGCCCTGGCTTCTACTTGATCTAACCCTGCGTTACTGCAGTCATTTTGGAAGTGAATCAGCAGATTTCCACTCCTCTGTGTGTGTGTCACTCTATCTTTCAAATAAATAAACACCTTTAAAAAAAAAAGGTAATTCTGGCAGGGATGCCCATTGTGATGTAACATGTTAAGCCTTTTCTTGGAACATTTCCTATATACAGTACTTCAGGTCAAGTTTCAGCTTGGCTTCTGACTTCCAGATTCCTGCTAACATATCCTGGGAGTCAGTGGATGACAGCCCAAGTACTTGGCAGCTGCCAGCTATATGGGAGCTCTATATAGAGTTGTGGACTATTGACTTTGACCTGAAACAACCCTGTGTGTGCCAAGCATTTGACTGTGTCACTCCACCTTTCTAGTAAGATGAAAATAATAAGAGATTTGTACATAGGACACCAATTCCCTCACTGCAATCTATTGGATGTCAGTTCTTGCCCACAAGGGTTTCTAAAATAAATACATAAAAGAGATCAGAGAAAATGAATAAATAAAATATTTTTTAAAATAAATAATACTTAAAAGTAGAAAAAGAATTCTCACAATAATAAAGTGGGGGGCCTTTAATAGTCAGAAATTTTGAGAATTTCTGAAAACTAAGGTTCATGTAAGTCAACTGATTGAAGAAACTATATATAAGATTAAAAAGATACAAGAAAAAATCACTGTGAAATTTAGAAATAGTTTTGAAGGTACCTCAAGTTTAGAGGATAAAAATATGTACAGCACAAAAATTATTGACCTTTTTGTGTATCTTCATCTGTTTTTGAGCTAACCATAAGACACAAGAACCATTCAGCATTGTAGCATAGCAAGTAAATCTTCCTCTTGTAACACTGGCATCAATTATGAGAACTGGTTCCTGTTTTGGCTGCTCTACTTCTGATCCAGTCCCTACTAGTGGCCTGGGAAAAGCAGCAGCACATGGTCCAAATGCTGGGGTCCCCACCATTTATGTGGGAGACCCAAATAAAGTTCCTGGCTCCTGGTTTCTGGTTGGCTTGGCACTGACCATCACAGCCATCTAGGGAATGAACAGAAGGAAGATCTCTCTGTTTTTGTCTCTCTCTCAATGTATCAAATAAATAAATTAATATATATTTTTAAAACCAAGAAACATTCACTTCTTTGTAGGGATAAGATGGTATAGATTTTTGGCCTAAAGAAATACAAGTCAAGATACAGAAAATGAATTACCATCACTGCACATCTCATCTCTCCTTCACATTGGCTGCAGCCTACAAAAACAGAAACTGTCCACAAGCAAGCAGATAGGCAATCACAAATGCACATGTAAGCATACACAAATAAGACTCAAGGGTTGTTGAAGGAACCCTGTCTCCATTACTAAATTCAACAAATGCAGTAACTAATAGCATCCAGGGAAATGTCATTAATAGAATAAATGTAAGGAATTACTAAAGAATTAGCACTGACATCCTTGAAGCATAGAAAATGGAAGAAATTTAAAGAATGCTAGGGATAATTTTTTTTAATGAGAAAACTTGGAAGCCTGGGGCTCCAGTTTTAGTTATCAGTTTTCTTATCCAGTTTAAAAAGAAAAAAAAATAGTACAAAATGACTGAGACTAGGATTGATATTAGAAGATACAAGATAAGCCTGATATATCTTATAGTGACATAAAGCAAATACTCAAAAAAAAAAAAAACACACAAGTAAACAAACAAGCACGCAAAAAAAAAAAACCTGTGATAAATAAATAAATGGGAGAGAACTGACAAATCTGTGTAGAAAGATTCCAAGTAATTTATGTAGCTCTTCTGCCCCCAAGGTGACAACTCTTCACTCCCCTGTCCCTAAGTGTGGGCTGTATCTGGAACATTCTCCTGGAACACAAGCAGTATTGTGAAAGGCCTCCCATTTCTGAGCAAAAGAAATCCATTTCACCTAGTTTAAATTAAAAATGGAATATATATTAGCTCATGTAGCTGGAAAGTTCAGGAACAAAACTGCTTTGGGGCATAGCTGAAATCCACTTTTAGCATTTGCTTTGCTCTGCTGAATGAATAAAAAATGACCGCCATCAACTTTAGATTTATATAATCCTTATAGTTGTTGATTTAAAAAAAAGATTTGTCAAACTCCCATTTTAAAAATACAAATCTAAGCTATAATTAGATAGGAGAAAGAAGTTCTAGTGTCCAGTTGCTCAACGGGGTGACTAGAATAACAATGATGCACTCTATGTTTTAAATGTTTATGTTTTTACCATAAAGAAGTGGTGAGCAGATAACAGTGTTTACTATGATTTGAACATTACAGTGTATACATATACTGAAATGTCACATGATAACCTGTCCTCTGGCGGACATGGACAGATCAGTATGCTTATTAGGAACTATCCAGGCCCCCCTCCTCCCCTGCCTCTTCTATTTCTTCTTTTATATGAGAGCACAGCACGCATAACCTTCAAAATACTGTCTTGGAAGCAGAGACTGAGCTCTTACTAGATACCAAACCTATTGAAACCTTGATCTTGGAATTTTCAGCCTCCCTAACTGCAGCAGCAGACTTAAGCTGGTTCTCAATTACCTAGTCTACAATACTATGTTATAGGATTAAAACACTGGGTCACTTGCATGCATGCTTCTACTTGATGACACATTATTAAGTTATTTTCCGAACTGGGTAGTGAAAGTCTATGTTTTGAGCAAAACATTTTGAAATATGTGTCTCTGAGTTCTGAGGCAGTGTCAAAGCCATAGGACCATAGCCTCTTGCACCCTTGGTGGTGGGAGCATCCATGCTTCAATTTATTTACACAATTAGAGAACATCATAAAATTTTATTTTCAAAAAGTTTTGCCGATAAAAACAATAAAAACCTAACTAGACAGTATCCTTTTTAATGCCTGGGAGAAAAATTAAGAAATACATATGAGGAGGCCCGGCACAGTGGCCTAGCAGCAAAAGTCCTCTCCTTGAACGCACTGGTATCCCATATGGGCATGGGTTCTAATCCCAACGGCCCCATTTCCCATCCAGTTTCCTGCATGTGGCCTGGGAAAGCAGTTGAGGACGACCCAAAACCTTGGAACCCCGCACCCGCATGGGAGACCTGGAGGAGGTTCCTGGCTCCTGGCTTCAAATTTGGCATAGCACAGCTCCAACTGTGTGGTCACTTGGGAAGTGAATGAACAATGGAAGATCTCCCTCTCTGTCCGCCTTCTCTCTGTATATATCTAACCTTATAATAAAATAAATAAGTCTTTTTTTAAAAAAAGAAACATATATGAGGAAACCCTTGAAAAGCCAACAGTTCATCTACAATATCTTCCTTCCAAGTTTTTTTTCCTCCTTGACCAATTCCATTATTTCTATAAGAGGAACATGAGAATGGTAGTCCCCTCTCGTTTCTTAGTTGGATTTAGAAACAAGTTAATCAATTAAGGCAAGGGTGGTGAGTAGTGGGAAGGGTTTGTCTCCATTCTGGTTTGTCATCATGATCATTAATAGACATGCTTTTATCTATCGGAAAGACAGATATACAAAGAGAAGCAGAGACTGAGGGAAAGATCTTCTCTCCACTGCTTCACTCCCTAAGCGGCTGCAATGGCTGGAGCTAAGCCAATCTGAAGCCAGGAGCCAGGGGCTTTCTCTGGGTCTCCCACGTGGGTGCACAGGCAGGGAGCTTGATGGAAAGTGGAGTAGTTGGGACACAAACTGGTGGCCATATGGGATCCCGGCAGGTGCAAGGTGACAAATTAGCCACTGGGCCATCATGCCAGGCCATAATTTTTATTTTTATTTTTTTAAAGATTTATTTATTTTTATTGCAAAGTCAGATATACAGAGAGGAGGAGAGACAGAGAAGAAGATCTTCTGTCTGATGATTCGCTCCACAAGCAGCCACAATGGTTGGAGCTAAGCCAATCCGAAGCCAGGAGCCAGGAGCTTCCTCCAGGTCTCCCACGCGGGTGCAGGGTCCCAAAGCTTTGGGCCATCCTCGACAGCTTTCCCAGGCCACAGGCAGGGAGCTGGATGGGAAGCAAGGCTACCGGGATTAGATTCGGTGCCCATATGGGGTCCCGGGCATGCAAGGCAAGGACCTTAACCACTATACTATTGCTCCAATAATTTTTATTTAAAAAAATAAATATGAAAGAGAAAAATTCTTTTGAATCTGCAGGTTCTAATGTATTCTTTCCTCTTAACCCATCCAGCTCAAAGCGGCAGATATTACTTCTCTTGCTTTAAGAATGTCTATTAACTTATCATCTACCCATCTGCCTTTGTCAGTGAACTCTCACATTAACTAGAGCATTGCCTATATTCACCACAGTCTCACAGAGCTCCTGTAGTGTGCTTGGCTATTATAGGTTGCTAAGCAATAATCCTAATGTTTTTATTGTCCTCACTGATACGCAGAATGGAAATAGACATGGGTTTAGCTTCAACTGTAGTCAAACACTCCCCTCTTACAGCCATAAAACCAAGAAAAGAAAAAGACACACAATAGCAGGATCAATGAGTCCGGATCCTGAACAAGCCGGTCTGAGGCTGTCTTTTGTCTGAATGATCTCCTAATTCAAGGATCACAGATTATCACACTACCCCAAGGGCAAATTAATTCACAAACTGAATTAAAGATACTTTCAGATATTTACTGGGTTTTTCCTTAAAATCAGTTTGTGTTTAAACATTCTTAAACCTTTTACATACAAGTTAACTGATTCATTTATATAATCACTAACATAATTATTGATTTTGCTCCATGTGCCAGAAATATGGAATTCTTTCTTGGGACTGACACACTAAATTCTTTGGAGAAATAAGAGCCTGTCAAGGTCTCCCTTCATAGGCACACCTTCCGCCTCAGCTGCCACACCTCCTAACATGCAAAGATCCATCCCAGCACAATTGGCATGAATGCCTTCAATTAAGTAGGAACACAAAAGAATTCCTCATTCATATTTTTGAAAGGTCTAGCCTTATAAATGAATTCCACCACTCAGTATCCTGCCCTCCATTTCCTGTACTTAGTGCATGATCTGCTGCTGGGCATAGCCTCTGCACAAAATCCATTTAAGGACACAAATGGAAATGAATTACAATCCATATTAGAATAAATTTTAGCAATCTGTCTTCAACAAGGAGGCATGTAACATTAGTGGAACTACTGCTGCTGAAAGTGATGAAATTTGATCCTCAGGGCCACCCAACATGTGCATGATTTTCTCTTTAAATTCAAGTCCTGACTTAAATTCAGCTGCTTTGTTGTCATTATTAGGATTTCTTAAATATGTACACAGTGTAGAATGATTGTTACGAATGAAGGAAGAAAGAAACGCCACTGGACTTTACTGGAATTACATTAGCCACAGGAAAAGTCAACTTCTTATCAAACTTTGCTAGTCTTAAGGTTCTGATTAGAATAGAACCGAGCAAATCAATAACTTAAAAAAAAAAACCTCTCAAAATGTAATTTTGATCCTGAAAAGAATAACCTGGGTAAAAGACTGACACGATGCATTTAACTGTGAAGACAACAAGTATTTGAGTGTATTGAGAGCTGTTTGGCAAGGTAACATCACTTTACAATTACATAACAAAGATAATGACACTTCCTTTGACATGTGGTAATTGCAGTAACAGTTCCTCTTTACATCATGATATGTATGTGAGTATACACACACACACACACACACACATACACACACACAGAGGGAGAATTCATTCAGGTGTAAGATTTAGTAGAGACTGATCACTGAATAAATAGGTACATTGCAATTCATTTGATATCACAGTAAGCAATTGTAATATTTTCAGAACATATCTGCTGTGGTGAATAGAATTTCACAGAACACACTTCTCTCCAATATCTTGAAAAGCCATAAGAGAAATTCAAAGTATAGGAGTAGCAAAGTCAGGCAGTGTTTGGGGCAGTGGTTAAAACACCACTTGAGATGCCTACATCCCATACAAGAGAGCCTCTGCTCCAGTCCCAGCTCCCTATTCCAGCTTCCACAAATGCACACCTTACAGAAAAGCAGATGATGATTCAAGTAATTGGATCCATGCCACCTGGGAGGGATATGCATGTTGAGCTCAGGGCTTCTGGCTTCAGCCTAGCTCAGCCCAGGCTGCTGTTGGTATTTGGAAAATGAGCCAAAAGATTAAAGATATCTCTCCCTCTTCTCTCTCTCTCTCTTTCTTCCTCTCCCTCTATCTCTCTTTTTCTCTCCCCTCCTTCCTCTCCCCCAATGCGTGCCTTCCAAATAAAAGAGAAAAGAAAGTCCACAAATTCTTCACTGACACATATTCTGGAAAATCAATAAATTACATAATAGAACCCATGTGTAAAGATATGCAAGCACAAATTTGGCCATAAATAAAGCCAAAGCCTGATAAAACTTTTAACAAATTACAAACACAATTCTGTTTGGCGTGTTTAAAATGAAAGAGTTCATTCATAACCTGGCCCAAATAACTGAAGGCAAAATACATGTATGGGGTACTAGTGGTAGACGGTTGGAGTGAGGAGGAAGGAAAATCAGGAAACTGGAGAGCGGGGACAGGTGAAGCAAAACAGATAAAGACTAGCCAGCAGAAAAAGTTCTAAAAGTTAGTGAAGTTGCACAAATAAAACTAAGTTTACAATAAGGACAAAATAAGCTTAGTTCTTCATGTATGTATTTTAATGTATATGAATAAGAAATACTAAATAATAACTGAATTGATTTAAAAGATAAAAAATCTGGCCCAGTGGCGGGGCCTAGCAGCTAAAGTCCTCGCCTTGAATGCGCATGGGATCCTACATGGGCGCCGGTTCTAATCCCAGTAGCTCCACTTCCCATCCAACTCCCTGCTTGTGGCCTGGGAAAGCAGTTGAGGATGGCCCAAAGCTTTAGGACCCTGCACCCATGTGGGATACCCAGAAGAAGTTTCTGGATCCTGGCTTCGGACCAGCATAGCATCTGGCATTGTGCTCACTTGGGGAGTGAATCATCGGATAGAAGATCTTCCTCTCTGTCTCTCCTCCTCTCTGTATATCTGACTTGCCAATAAATAAATAAATCTTTAAAAAAAAAGATAAAAAATCGCTTTGGAAAAATTTAGCTCCTCAAAGTTATAAATAACATCTGCAGAACAATTTTCAGTTTAGAAAATATTTCAATAATTATTACTGTAATTCAGCCTAGACCCATCTAGTACATATTGAACTCCCAATACTTGTAAACTGAATTGAAGGGAATTTACAATTAAATTTAAGATGCTTGAAGTATTGCAAACATTTCTGATAGCACATTATTACACTAGTGTCTTGTATGAGCAAGAACAAATGCTTGTAGTGAAAGGCATAGAAGTACCTTTTTATTTTTTTGTTGCTTTTTTGATACTGCAAAAAAATGTTTTTAAGGATGTGTGTATTTAAAAGGCAGAAGGAGAGATCTATTCACACAGAGAAATCTTCCATCACTATTGCCATTCCTAAATGTCTATAAGGGCTGGCACTGAGTCAGGCTAAAGCCAAGAGTCAGGAACTTGAAATGGGGCTCCTAAATGGGAAACAGGAACCCACATATGTGGGGCTACCATTTGCTGTCCTCCAGACACATCAGCAGAAAGCTGGATTGAAATGTGAAGTAGCTGGGACTCAACACTGGCCCTCCAACAGGGGATGTAGGTTCCCAAGCAGCAGCTTAACTCTCTGTGCGTTAACACCTGTCCAGTCTGCATAATCCTGGGGAATTTGCTTTAAGAATGGGATGAGGATTCATCCCGTGGATCAAACAGGATAAATGAGCGGTCAAGTACCAGAGTGAAAAGAACAAATAGGAAGAAGAATTATGACAGCCCATCATATCTGCCAAAATCCTTCATTTCATTTTTATATTGTAGTTTTCTACAAGGCATCAATCAGTGTCACAACTAAATTTCCTAGGTAATGCAAGATAGTCATAAAGTCAACACAAAAAGTGTTAATAGAAAGTGAAGAGAATATACTCTAAGTCCCAAATTACATTTAAAATATTCCCAAAGATTACATTTTTAAGATGTGAACTTTTGAAAAAAATGCATTCCCAGTGAAAATGTAGTGGTAGTTTTAGAATCTGTGGTATAAAGCGAAGGCCAATTCTCTACCTTGGGGTTTGATTTCATCTGCTGCTTCTTTCCCCACATTGTTGCTGGTCTCTGTTACAGAAACATCTGGTACACTCTGTGAACTCTTTGAAAAGAGAAAAGAAACACGAATTTTAAAACAGGGTGCTTTTCTTCAAAGTTCGATCACTTTTTCCAAGTAACAGAGGGTTCATTGCTTTGTAGGAGTTACTAACCACTTCTATTTACTTTTTCTAGGATTTAATTCTGCGTCTTAGAAGCAAAGCAGTAGTCACAGTTTATTTACTGCACTCAACAAGGTATATACCACATGTCATCATATCTTCCTATTACTGTTACAAAGATGCTAGAAATAACAACCCAGATGTACAGTTTAATCCTCAAATTATAAAATTCATTATGGAATCATGATTTCATACCACTGCATAATGAATGCCTTTGAAAATGCTAATTTTTTTTTTTTTTACTTCTAGAATCACCTTCCATGTTTGTGGTGGAAAGAAAAACAGTCTATTTTAATTGAGAAAAGTAAAGATTGATTCTATGAATAAAGGTGGCAGAATGAATTTTTGGACTACTACTCTTTTTTTATTTCATTTTATGACAATGATTTCCCCCAACCCCTCCCCAAACTCTCCCCTCATATTGAATTCCTCCATATTGTTACAGTAGAATAGTTCAAAACCAGTCATGATCCTTCATTGCAGGCATGGACCATGCAGAGAGCCCAGCATCTTATTGTCCAGATAAAGTCAACAGTTTCATTGGGAGACCATCCTTGGTCTGAAAGTAGAACTGGCAGAATATCATCCCCTCCAATGAGATGCCACTACACAACTTCAACAACAGGAAGAAACATGGAAATTAACAACATCATGAAGTTAATTAGCATGGTATTGAGTGACAAATATGTTACAACATGCAAATTCTTAACCACATCCTGTAACTACTTCCTTGACATCTCAATTTTAGTATATACACTACCGGCTGCTATAAACTTCAAAATGGTTATAGGGTACTATTCAGCTGTCTCGTGTCTATTTTCATTTTTATATTTAGCATCTTATAGTATTCAAGCGTGATTTTTACTGTACTTCATGAATTTTAGGATAGTCCAATCAGGCTTATAACTCTAACAAACTATATGTTAATGATTGAGGAGCAGAGCAGTTTTAGGAGGGATGTGCAGAGAAATCTTTAATACCTTAGTGAGGAGTAACTGATCTTTGTGTTCCACCTAGTAAGGTATATGGTAATCCAAGCTGACTTTTTTTTAAATATAATTTTTTTAAAATTTCGTCAATCTTTACATAGTTAGTTTGGGCAAAAAGGGTCAAGGGCTACAGGAAAATGGGTAAGACTATTATTTCCATATTGTTTCCTTCATATATCTGAGGTAGAGGGGGATATTGAGGGAGAAGCCCCACCCGGTTTCCCACCCACCCCAAGTCTCGCATGTGGGGCATTCCAAGCTGACTTTTTCCTGTCTTTTCTAAGCTTTCCTTATTGGTCTCTGTCTGTCTATCTGATCTAATTTTGGGGCTCCAGAGCAACCCTGATGGTCATTGCAACAGAGGGTGGGGAGCCGAAGTTGGAACTAAGTAAGGACCAGAGAAAGCTTCTCTTCTGAGTCACGAAGGAAGTTTATTATTCTGTTTCTGAGGACTGCTCAGGGCTCCTGGCTGTTGTTCCAATGACCTTAGATCTTGTGAGGAAGGATCTGGGCTTCTTCCATCCTGTGTGGGAGATCCAATAGGGAATGGTTGACCTCAGAGTCCTTGGGCTACGAGGGCACTCAATTTCCTGTGATCAACTTGGCAGTTGGGATATAGTCCTTGGTGCCCATACTGATTGGACTACTACTATTACTGGTGTACTACTGAGGAACAGAACACTTTTAAGACTTAATTCCTCTTAACTGAGGAATAGGACACTTTTAGTTACTCAATGTGAATCCATATAATTATTTTAATTGCTTCCTTTTAGATAAAATGTTCCTTCCTATTGGTAGCCTTGTAATTATTTAAACACAAAGTTACTTAAATAATCAAAATGGAAATTTTACTTTACAGCATGATGATGAATTTACAATCCACAGGGCAGTAGTTGTCATTTTGGAAAGCATCTGTGTTAATAGCTAATTTTCAACAGCTCTTCACAAATGATTCACTTGTCTAGGAAGATTCAGACTCAGATGAGTCATCTAAACAATCAATACAATTTCATCCTTTTCCATTTGTCATATTTGTAATCATTTTGAGCACTCATCTTTCCTCTTCCTTCTTCATATGAAAATTTATCTAGTTTATATTCTGTAATATTGTAATCTGATTATGCATGACAACTCTACCTCAGCAGGATTTTTCATTTCAGCTGAGTTCTGTTGCCTTTCATTGTCTTCTTTTTCATTTTTCTGAAATGGAAATAGTGTTAGTAATGGTATCCCAAAGGAGCTACAGATTAACACTTTAAATTCCAGAAAAGAAAGAGTTTTTCAACAACAAAAAATAAATAAAAAAATAATAATAATAAATAAAAAAGAAGGAGTTTTTCAAAAGAAAAAAATTATAACAAATTTTATATGAACAAATATGTTGGTTTTTAAGAAAAGTTACAAAAATTAGTTTTATCACCAAACAGTAACACTTATGATTAAAGTATACCATCGTCCCTGTTAGAAGCAATTCACTATAAGCCAACTGTCATTTTTATCACCCTCTTTCCAGCTTTCCTGTCAAACTCTACTTCAACTAAAAAACAAATATGTGATAGAATGTGATATTGCTTCTCAAATTTTCCAAGAGTTGCAAATCTTAAATGCTTTCTTAAATGCTTAAGAAGTTATGAAGACAAGAAACCTGAGCAGGCTTGGGTTCCTCTTGGGATGTTGATTCACTCATCTGGATTGTTAAGAGAGATCACGAAAACACAGCAGACTTGGCCAGCATCTGTAACAAAAAGAGAGGAAGTAAATTTAATAAACACTGAAAAGTACTCTGGAAGATTAAAATCTCTCTCGCCCTCACCCCCAACCAACTCCAGCATTCTATTGAACGGTGGTAAGTTCTCAACTGCTGAACTCTTTCAACGGTGCTTCTGTTATTACTGTTGCTACTGACCAGTCAAAGCCAGATTGCTGCTAGGCTTGCTCTCACAGAGAGCATGGTAGTTACCAGCACTATTTAAAAAATGATAAAACAGTTAAAAGCCCCAACGAGGCCACAGTATCAATATACAACATTATGGAATTAATTGACATAGTATTGGGTAAACAATATGTTAAAAATAATGCAAGTTCCCTTCTTCGAAACATCTGGGTTGAGACAGTATCAATGACAGGTTCAAAAAAAAAAATAACAAACAACCAAACAAAAAATTACAGGTTAAATCAAGGCAAACATGTGGTATCTAATCTTTTGGGATTCGCTCATTTCCCTTAGCATTATAGTTTCCAGTTGTACCCATTTAGCCACAAAGAACTGCATTTTGTTTTTTTTAATAGCTGAGTAGTATTCCATGGAGTAGATGAACCAAAGCTTTCTTATCCAATCTTCTGCTGATGGGCATTTCGGTTGCTTCCATGTTTTTGCAATTACTGATTGTGCTGCAATGAACATAGGGATGCATGTTGGTTTGTCGTAAAACAGGTGTTTTGGATATATTCCTAGGAGTGCTATTGCTGGGTCATATGGTATGCAGATTTTGAGTTGTTTGAGTGTTCTCCAGACTGATTTCCATAAAGGCTGTACCAATTTGCAGCTCCACCAGCAGTGGAGTAGGGTTCCCTTTTCCCCGCATCCTCGCCTTTACTCTGTTAGACCTATTTTCAGACCATAGAAGGTCTCCCCAAGAGGCCACTGAACTTATCTGGACAATAAGACGCTGAACTTTATGCTAGGCATGTGTCTGCAAGCAATGAATCTCAACCGAACTTGAACTATGGTTATGCAACAAGGTGGAGGAATCCACCATGGGGGGAGGGGTATGGGAGGGGTGGGGGGAATCCCCAGTGCCTATGAAACTGTACTACACAATACAATGTAAGCAACAATAATAAAAAAAAAAAAAATGGAAAAAAAAAAAAAAAAAAAAAAAAAATGATAAAACAGCAACAGTAATACAATTAAACTTTATAACATGATTGTCAACCTCATTGATTTTTGAAATAACAACCAAAGTAAGGGAAAATGAAGCTTTGATGGCCACCTAACTCATTCAGGAAAGGCTAACAGAAAAGATTTCTAAGAGGATTTTTATTTTGGTGGGGTAAAGTTCTGGAATGACTGTTATTTATCTGCTTTATTGATTCATACACAAGAGTTAAAATAATCAATAGATGCCTACTTCATTGAAAATGATTGTATATTCAGTCACAGAGTTTAGCACTACCATACCAAACAACATTTGGGGGTTGAGCACTTATATACTAGGTGCTGCTCAAAAAGTAGTTTTCTGTACACATGGCCTTTAACTCAAGGACAGTCATAGTCTAGGGAAGTTGTACATACAAAAGATATTCTGGAATATCTGTTTTCAATATAGCATATATTTTACTTGAATAGGCCAAAATCACTGCCTTTGGAAACACTAGATTCCAATGCAAATAACTGCCTCAAAGCCTTTTTGAAGCAGTTCATAAATAAATGATGTAAAACAGAATACGTTTCTGTGATAGGTCTCAATTGTATATCTACAGTCTGCTCTTTTTTTTGCCTAGGATGTCTGTCTCCTGAAATTGCTCAAGATTTTCCTTCCATTTCTTTTGTAATCAGCTACATTTGGACGCACCAGATATATTCAACTCAGTAACTTTCAGGGGTGCCTCCAAATGCTGGAAGATGTTGGGGTTAAAAACTAAGACCTTTCAGGCTAGTGTTGTAGCAGAGTGAGTTAAGCAGCTACCTGTGATGCTGCTGGCAGCCCATATGGGCTCTAGTTCATGTCCTAGCTGCTCCACTTTCAATCCAGCTCCTCTATAAAGGCCTGGGAAAAGTAGCAGAAGATGGTACAAGTGTTAGGTCCCCATTATCCATGTTGTAAGGGTCCCTGGCTTCTGGTTTCAGTTTAGTCCAGCTCTGGTCAATGCAGCCAACTGTGGCGTGAACCAGCAGATGGAAGCTCTCAGTCTCTCTTTTTCTTGAATTTCTCTTGCCTTGTTTCTCCCTTTTTCTCCTTAACTCTGAAAAATCTTAAAAAAAAAAAAAGGCTGGTAAAAGTGAGGCTTCTCCAGCTGGCCTGTCAAACCTCCCTTTAACAAGGTTAAGTCTACCTTTGACAAGTTCCCAGGTCAGTGAAGGGAAGAAAAGATGCAATTGAATCTGCAAAGTACAGAAGTGGAAGCATATACAATGTGTTAAGGAACAGAGGAATAAGCAACTCATTTTTTTTTCCAAGGGAGCCAGGGCAGTTCTCTCAGAGAGACATCTCAAAGTTGAAATTTAAAAGATTAATAAATTTTTGTGTAAAGCAGAGGGAGCATGTATTTGAAGCAGAGGGAACAACAACTCCACAACATGAAAGTTCAAAATGTGAAGCATTAATGTCCTAAACAGAGTTGTATAGGAGACAGTGGCAGAAGATGAGGCTAAAAAGTTACATATCAACACTACGGTGAGTTCTTCATATTAATTAATTTAGGCTTGGTGCTTTCTTTGTGTAGGATAGTTGTTAAAAATTGGTGTGTTGGTGTCAGTGCAGTGGTGTAGCAAGTTAATTCTCTGTCTGCAGCTCAGCATCCCATATAGGTGTTGGTTCTAGTCCCAGTTGCTCCACTTATGATCCAGCTCCCTGATGATGGTCTGGGAAAGCAGCGGAGGATGGCCCAAAGGCTTGGGACCCTGCACCCACACAGGAGACCTGAAAGAAGCTCCTAGGTCCTGGCTTCAGATTGGCTCAGCTTTGGCCACTGTGGCCATTCAGGGGAGTGAACCAGCAAGAGGAAGATTCTTCTATTTGTCCTTCTCTCTGTAAAATCTGCCTTTCCAATAAAACATAAATCTTTAAAAAAAATGCAAAACCAAAACCAAATGTCCTCCAGTAGCACAGAGAATGGACTGTTGTGTGAAGGACTGAGAGAAAAGAGAATGAAGATAAATTTTGCACCTGAAGTGTTTGCATCTGAAGTATATACCTCAATGTGTTTGGTACCCTAATTCTCTCCATTCAGGTTCACCTTTTCAACATATAAAGCTGACCTCTAACCACAAGCACTTGCAATTCTAAGGGCTGTCATTAGGGGCAGATCCAAGGTGCTTGGAAGGTCCAAGGTGCTTGGAAGGTAGTATCTATGGAGAAAAGCACTCAGTCAATGATGAATAGGGATTTGCATGTAGTTCCAATGAGATATGGTCTACACTGTCTCCTGGAGGTTCCCAATAGTACTGTGCCTCAGTTGCTCTGAGTGTAACACAACAATAATATATTTGGTTTCTTTTACTTTCATTAAGTGAAATAAAGAGAAAGCAAAACAGTTTTGAAGACAGATGGAATGAGATTGAGTTTCAAAGTGTCACGTTTAAGCTATCTGCTGGATCAGCTGCTAGAATCTTCTAGAAGTCTGAAAAGCACTGAAATGTGCCATAGAGTATTAGCAGGCAGCTATGGCTACAAGACAGAGCTTCAGTAAATCTAGTTTAAGAACCCTCCACATTCATTCCCAGCAGATTTGTAACTTGGTGAATTGCAGCATTTGACATCTTGGTTTGTAAGATTCCCAATCATACATGAGAAAGTAGACAATTAGCCTTCAGAAAGGGCTTCCAAGTATAATAGAATAAATCACTTGGTTTCTCATGGAAGCTAATAACTGACTTTTACTCAGATACTTTTAGTGAATCTTGAATACCTGGTGGTGATAAAAGAATATATTTATAAGGTGATGTTAGTTGAGTTCACCAAAGGATAGCAAGGAAAAAAAAATAACACAAAGGCTAATGATAAGCCCTTGATGATGAGCAGCTAAAAGTAGTGAGAAAAAATGTCAATAAAAAATATTGATAGGGCCTGGCACGGTGGCGCAAGTGGTTAAGGTCCTTGCCTTGCACGCCCGGGATCCCATATGGGCGCCGGTTCTAATCCCGGCAGCCCCGCTTCCCTTCCAGCTCCCTGCCTGTGGCCCGGGAAAGCAGTTGAGGACGGCCCAAAGCTTTGGGACCCTGCACCTGCGTGGGAGACCTGGAAGAGGCTCCTGGCTTCGGATCGGCATAGCATCTGCCGTTGCGCTCACTTGGGTTGTGAATCATCGGACGGAAGATCTTCCTCTGACTCTCCTCCTCTCTGTATATCCACCTTTCCAATAAAAATAAAATAAATCTTTAAAAAAAATAAATAAAAATAAAATAAGCAAATCTTTTAGAAAATAAAGAAACAGCTTTTCCTCCTGTACTTGAAGATTCTAGACTTCTCTCGCTTGGATAAAAGAAAGAAAAAAAGTCTTGTGATAATCTCATCTGGGTAACTGTCCTGCAAGGGGATGTTCATTTTCCTCAAGACCTACCCCAATGACATTTCACTGGTAGTAAATCCAAAACTAATATCTGTTCTTAAAATCTTCTATTTAGTAGGGGACAGGTACTGTGTTGCAGTGGGTTAATCTGTCACTTGTGACACCCACATCCATATTGAGGCACCTGGGATTAAGTTCCCCCTCCATTTCTGATTCAATTTTCTGTTAATGCCTGGGAGGCAGTAAGTGGCAGCTCAAGAACTTGGTTTTCTGCCACTGATGTGGTAGATCCAGATAGAATTACAGGCTACTGGCTTCATCCTGGTCTGGTGTTGGCTGCTGCAGTCCTTTGAGGAGTGAACTAGAAGATTAGAGCTCCCTGCACTCTGTCTTCCATCTTTCAAACAAAAAATCATCAAAAATAAAATCAACTCCAACAGGCAAAATGCAAACTCTACCTGGGATAAAATAGCTTGTACATAAAAGGTATATCACGGTTTATATATTTATTGACAGAAACACAAGGAATATGTGTGAAAGCACATTTTATGGAAGTTAAAACAAGGAGGACTGAATTAGGAAGAATTTATTGATATAACCTATCAAATTCTGGATTTAATTAAACAGTTATAAGAGACACTAACCACTTAGTTAAGTTCTACAATGATTTATGCTTAATTAAATGGAGATAGCAGGACTTCCTTGACATAATGTAGAGAAAGAACCCAAAGGTTTAGGGAAAGAGAAACGTTGGAATAAACTTACGATGTGTGATCTGAACATCTGCTTCCCCCTCAAGTACAATCACCAAGAAGACTTGTGGCACGATGAAATACTTGTTTGCATAAAGCTCCTTTACTATGGCATTGAGAAATACTAATGAGTGGTAATATCTCTATTCTTGAAGAGCTATGTTGTAGCTTTCTGTACGCTGTGCATGATAGTAGAAGATACTAGTATTGAGGCAGATTGCTTAACATCCATGAGGATGATGCATTTCATAGTAATAGAAGCCAAATGTCAGAGTTTGAGCAATAGGGAAGTTGGGCGCAATCATCATAAAGGGAAGTAAGGAAACAGTAGTAATGTTTTTGACCCTCAAGGCTCTTTGATTGTGGCTATGGTGTTTTGAGGAACAAAATAGATGGCCAGCTAACTAAAATGGCAATCATTTACATGTGATATTTTTAAATAAACATATATAGTAGCCAAAAATATGACTGTGGTCACCACAATGGGAAGTTCTGACTTCTTACCCAGCTCTTCAACTGAAGGGAAGGTCAGGTACTTTTGAGAAGCATTCACTCACTGCATGCTGCCACTAGTTTACATTGAAAATCTTCCAAGTCTTCTCCACAGGGACCTATGGCCATTTTCTAAAATGATTACCTGCTGATGAAAAGAAACACAGAGATTTTTCAGCTCAAGTAGAATTGTGTAGTAGCTATATGAGGTAGAGTCATAATAGGTTTAGATTACCATGAGCTGAGTAGGGCCACAGAATAAGCTTGTAATGATTTCATCAGTTCCTGAATCATAGATATGAGTGGCAGAATCTCCATGTTGGCTCTCTGATTATAGAAAAAGGATCATTACGGTATGAAGAGCCCCAATGAAACCCTTGGATTGTAATGTGCAACTGACCCTTGTGACCAGGATAGTAAACAGTCAGCCTTACATAAATTCAATACATTGGTGACAGTTATGGTAACTGTATTTGAAGAGGAGGAAATAACAAGGTGTTTTTAACAGTCTTCATGAAATACATGCAAAGTAGTGGGAGATGGCTTCCATTCCTCGTATCAACTTCCCTATCAGTAAAGTGTCAGTTATTACATTATTGTCTCTTCTCCAGACTACTCATTTTTACTCCTTTTTGAATTGAGACTCTGAAAAATCTCATATCTTTGCCTTACCAGTGACTCTGTTACACTTTGCTAACTGGGGGCACCTGAAGAGGATCCTAATGCTAAAGGAAGAACAAGAGGCTGCTCTTTCTGGTCTACCTCCTGATTTCTTGTAGCCTCAGGTTCATGTGCAATTGACTTGAGTAATGTCTTTTTGGTAGAAATGTTTCTGTCGTGTAGCAACAGTGAAAGGCAGTTTGTAGTTTTCCTATAGTTCTGTAACTTTCATTGACGCCAATACACCAACACACTTGCCAGCCAGTGTTCTTATCTTAGAAGTTTGGGTCCTAGACAGTCCCTCCTCTAAGCTCAGACACGCTACTAACAGCTGAGTAACACCTTCTCCTTAGAGACCTGAATGTTTAGTTTTGTGAAGCTTCTGTAAGTTTCTAAAGTTTTCCTTTGCTATCTTTTTTTCAACAGTTAAAGTGGTATTAGTTGCTCCCAAGACATAGACACTACTTACAGAAGTGACTGATGGCAGCTGACTGGTCACACAGTCTATGTATACAATGTTACAGTTTTGAATAAACTAGCACAATTAATTTGTAGTCAAAACAGCTGTGTATTCCCCAGCTTTTTTTTTTTTTTTAACAAGCTGCAGCTGTATTGGGTTCACTTTGTTCTTCCCCAACAGATTTGACTTAAGATATTTGATTGGGAGTATGTGTGGAAACTGGTTATCCCAGAGGCGATCCCCAGAACATAAAATGCTTTTTTACAGGGAAAAGGCAATATTAACAGACTTTCCTACACCAGGAAATGTATGACAGAATCATACTTGAGTGACTTTCAGCTCTTAGATATTATCCCTAACATATTTGTAACTATTTCCAGATCATTTCAGATGTAAGGGATTGGATTTTAAAGGATAGGATCATTATTTCATTTCGTTCAACCAGACCTCTTTGCTTTCTTTTTTTTTTTTTTCTCCAGCAATACACTTAATGATATAAACTGTAGTCTTTGAAGTGATACCCTTCATTTGGTGTGCAAAGAATGAGTTACAGATACACTCTAAGATAGTAATCTAGTCAGTTCTAGGAGTGGCCTGGAAGAACTAGAGCAGTTGGTACTTGCAGGTAATTCATCCCTGGCCAGAGGCAGCATTCTAGGGATTCTCAGAGTGCATGTGAAAAGAGTCAGGAGCTGATGTCTCATGCAAGCCTGTCCGTGAGCTCCCTAATGGCAAGTAGGGTGACAGGGTTGTCAATAAAAGCCTAAGTGTGTTCTTCCACCAGAGCATCATGTTAAGGAAGATGCCGTGGTGTATCTTGTTGCCCATCATAAATACTGAATCTTAAAGATGCTGGAGGCGTGCACATCCCCAGGTCCAGGCAGCCTTAGGTGTGGCCAAGAAAGGTCAAGAGGCCTATCAGATGTCCTGATGGATTTAATTATCAATGTATCTCTTTATATATACTGGATTCTTTCCTTTATGTTGTCTTAGTTATGTCCAAATAATCTGTAGAATCATTACTTCAGATATTCTGCATATTAGAATATTGTCACTTATTTACAATAGACAGAACACCAAAAGAATTTGAGTAGATTCTGAATCTAGTCATGTTATCCCAAGGTATTTCTATATTACATTTCCCAATGAGAAAACAGACCTATTAAAGTCAACTAAATTGTGTAGAAGACAGGGCTGGAGACAGAATTGACCCAGCAATTGCAACCATCAGCATGTGCACAAGCTGATGCGACAGAATGTGCTGGACCCTGTACTGGCAAGCACATACAAGAATCTGGTCTGGGATCATCTCAGATGAAGTTTCTTTGGGGATCCCTCCAACTGAACCACTGGACTCAGAATTCCAGCCATGCAGAGAATTGCAGGATCCATGTTCATGTGTCAGAGTTGGGCCTTCTCAGTGGCTAGAAGAAGCAGTGGACAGCATATCCAGCTGCACACGGAGGATATGGCAATACATTGGAGCCTGCAGAAGACACCTGGTACCATAATAGAGGACGGAGGAGAGACCAAATTAATCAACTACCCCAGCCAAGCATTGGCAGTGAATATGTGGGCAAACAGAGAGTCTAAGGTGGACTATGTCAGTCAGTGGAGTCTGGAGAGATTTCATCATGCTTGGAGTGCTGAGATTGGCAGCAATAAAAAACTGCTGAACTATCAAAAACCTCTTGAGCAGGATCCTCGAAGCATGCCCCATGCTGGGGACTCTGGGATGGCACTGGGTGGCTGTCCCCCATCTTAGGGAGTATGGGTATGGTTTCTTTCCCTATCTCCCTCTTTCCCCCAGATACAGGAAGGCAAAAAAGAGAATGTAGAAATAATGGTCTCATCCACCTTCATCTAGCCCTTGACTCTTTGCACCTTAATCAACTATGTAAAAATTATCAAAAATAAAAAGTCAACTATAATTTTTACATGTACATTTTAATTGGTGTTAAAATTGTTTTATAAATTTCATCACCTAATTGTAGAAATTAAGTTCTTATTGGTAGTGACTACCAGGACTCTGAAGAAATCACTGCCAAACTGCCTTCTTTAGGAATGGCATATAGTCATTTCAATAGTAGAATCATATATTAAAAATTATACATTCACCAAAGCAATCCTAGATTTTCCATTGTTTTTAAGATTTTATTTGAAAACTTACACAAATTCAAATTTAATATCATTCTTAATAGGTTTATTTTTTCATCACAAACATGTAATATAAAGAAAGCAAACGTTTCAGCAAGCCCCATATAACTGTCTCAAAATCTCCTTTAGTTTATCCCAGTGTGCTGTACAAAATTTCTAGGAATGTCATAATGTGGGAAAAAAAAAAGATTGAGAACCCTTGCTTTAGTCTTTGGATTAGGATTCTTAACCTGGAGTCTCTTTATAGATTTGGGGGTGTTTCCTAAATATGCAACTACATCTTTCTGGAGAGGTGAAAAACTTTCATCAGCTTTGCCAAACAGGACCAGCCAAACTGGCCCTATGATTTAACCTCTGAAGTAGCTAAAGATGAAAAGGATATTACTATCACAAGTAAGAAGAAAAAAGGTACTACAAATGGAGCTAGGACTTTTGTTTTAAGCTTCCTCTTTCAGGAAGCCAGCTCTTGGCTTCTCTCTTCTTACATTCAGCTAGTAGAATGGAGGATCTTAGGATCTTCCCTCTATAGCAGTAGGCACCTGCTCTCTCAGGTCATCAGAAGACCAAGAAGAAACCAAGGCGAGACCCAGGGAAGAATATGGAAAAATGAAACAGACAATGTATATTTCAAATGCTCACATGTGATCTAGCTCACTTCAGGAAATAACTATATTGGGATCTGTAACCAAAACCTGAAAACCAATATCATTATGATTACATTTCCTTAGATCTCATCTGTGTTGCTGTAGAACTTGGTAAATACCCAGACATTTTCTTATATCTCTATATTTCACTTAAGCTTCCTAGAGGTAACTAAAATCAAGGTACCAATAAACTACCCAGCAATTATTTGTTGATATGTGTTTTTTTTCCTACTTTTAGGCTGTGAACACCTGAGAGGTAGATAAATATTTATTTTGTTCTCAAGACAGTGTATATCATATAACACAAACATTTTCTTTTTTACTAGTAAATAAATTAATAAATCCATACCAGTAGTGTCCTTAAAAGATAATATACAGGGTCCGATGGAGCCAAATCCTCACCTTGTACCCCTAGGACCTCATATGGGTGCCAGTTTGTGTTCCAGCTGTTCTACTTCCCATCCAGTGACCCTGCTTGTGGCCTGGGAAAGCAGTAGAGGATGGCCCAAATCCTTGGGACTCTGGAAGACCCAGAAGAAGCTACTAGCTTCTGGCTTTGGACTATCTCAGCCCTGACCATTGTAGCCTCTTGGGAAGTGTACTAGCAGATGTAATATTTTTTCTCTCTGTATCTCCTTCTCTGTCTGTAAAATCTGCCTTTCCAATCAAAACAAATAAACAAATCCCTTTTTAAAAAAGTAATATACCAGGAAAATAATTTCCTCTGCAAACTTGTAACTTAAGTTCTGGTTGCAAACAAGCCTAATGTGAATTTGAGTACCACATATAATCCAATTTTGACTAGACTTTTATCACTTTAGATATGTTGAACAGAAATTTTGCATACTTACCTATAGATGAGACATATCTTGATCACTAGTTTACTCCTGTTTTGAAAAGGCATGAGTTATGTTTCCTTGTTCTTTTTACTTCATTTTGCCCGGATCTGTTTTATACACATGGGCTATGGTCAACAAAAAGTTGACTTGGAACAAACTTTAGAGAATAAGAAAGCTGTCCTGGGGTGGGCATACAGCACAGTGGTTAAGATGCTTCTTGAGATTCTGCATCCCATATCAGATGGCTTGGCTTCCAATCCCAGTTCTGCTACTGACTGCAGTTTCCTGCTGATTCTCACTGTGTCAGGTAGCTGGTGATAGCCAAGTAGTCGAGTCACTGCCACTTATATATGGAAGACACAGAATGAGTTTCTGTCTCCTGGTTTCAGTCTCATCCAGCCGTGGTTATTGTAGACATTTGGTGAGTGAATGCTCTTCAAATAAAAAAAGTGAATAAAACAAGATGTCCTGGTTACATAGAGGACTTTGTAGTTTATACTGAACTTTACCATAATTATTTTATTTGATCACACGAATTCTATAGGTTAGGGGTCCGCTGTACGGATGAAGGAACCACAAGAACAAATTATTTGCCTAAAATTTTTCAGAGCTAGAACCAGAAACTAGGTCTTCTGACTCCAGTGGTAGTTCTCATTCCCCACATAAGGTTAATGGAATGAAGCCTCTTACGTTCCAGAAAAATTCCTCAAGAGTATATTTCTCTACATAAGTAATCACGTTTTTATGTCATATGCCAACAGAAAAGTGTATTTATTAAGACCTACTGATTTGAATAATTTCTGTTCCTAGAACCATACTTTGGTTTATAAATCATATATATTCATTTGAGCTCAGTCAATTTTCAGTTCATTCAATTTCTTGGCCAAGCAGTAAGCTTTCTGTTTGGTTTCTTAGGCATTGGATCAAAGTACTTAGCTCTGAACCTTGCCTTCTCTTTTCCTGTTTACTGTGTAGCTCTGGGAAAAAACAGACTGTTTAATCTGTTGAACCATCCAGCTTTGTTTCATCTCGCAGGCACTCTTCATCACCGCCAGGGGGCAAAAGCCTACCAGCAGCTTTCGCTGCAATACCCCATAGGACTGTACAGTACAGGGACCCTCAGTGTCTCGTGATGGAACCTCCCTGCTAATTATTTCAACCACAGGGCCCCAGAGAACAAAGGCTTAGCACAGAGGGCTCTTGTGGTCCTTAACCGTACAGCAGCCAGAAAGAACTCCTGACGGTCCTGTCAGTTTAAAAGCAGCAATGAGATCCCAGAGTGTTTGAGTGACAAACAGGAGGAGGAAGGCTTGAATAACTGCAGACTCTGGCGGAGCTTGCCTGCGCTCCCTACAGCTTTGAAATGTACGGTGGTATTCACCAGCTCATCTACTCAAAGGAATAGCTTTGCCAGTTCTCTTTCTTTGTGTAAATAACCAATGGTATTTGCATTGTGTGGGGTTTTCCTCCTTTTAATCTTGATTTTTTTCCCCATTGTATTCTTGGTTTGTGTTCTAGTGAAAGTTTATCTTCCAGAAAAATGATTCTTTTAAAAATACATTTTAAATCTATAATTCACATGTTTACTAAATAATGTAAGCTAAGGCTGAAGAAGAATCTAGAAGGGGCAAATCCTGTTTAAGATACATCTTCATGTCACGAAGCAAGTGGGAGATAAATAACAGATGGGACCCTTAGCAGTTCTGTAAGCCTCCCAGGCACCCTCAGCCACAGTCGCCTCAGGAATAATGAGTGAGGCTTTAGACTCAGGTAATAGAGGAAGCATGAGGGTACCAGGAAGCTCTCCACGGCATAAAGATGAAAATCCTTCTTTCATAAACTCTCTTAAAACACTAGAAGAAGGGGATTGGAAGCTCAGAAGCAGCCCTCCTTCCCCCAGACCCCCAGCGCTGGGTCAAAGGTGCCCTAGCTTAGGCCAGCCCGATCCATGCCCAGACAGAGGATCTGAAAACGTCCTTCCTCAATTATCACCTCGGTTCTTTTTCTCCAACGTTAGTTCAGCGGAGCGCCCCACCTGATAAAATGGTTGTCTCTCCAGAGCGAGGACACCCACGGGCCCCCTACGCTGCGCCTCCCTCCGGCGCCGGGCTCTCCTGGGACCCCAGCCCGCAGCAGCGCGCCGCCTCAGGCTGCAGGAGGAAGCGCGCGAGGGGGCGCGGCCCGAGGAGCACGCTCTCGGCCGGCTTCCGGCAACTCAAGGGTTACGGCGAGGCGGCGGCGCGCGCCGAGGGGAGAGGCGGTTGCTGACAGGTGGCGCCTGCGCACTGGGAGCGCTCATTGTGCCCCGCAGCTGCCGAAGCGCCCGCCCGTCCGTCCGCCCGCCGCCCGTTCGGCGCGTCAGTCGGCCAGAGTCCGCGGGTGTGCGCGGAGCCTGCAGCCGTTCCAGCGGCCTCGTCCTCCTCCTCTTCCTCGTTCCCTCACCCCTCACCCCGCTCCTCCTTTCCGCATCCCGGCTCCGTCACCCTCCCGCCCCCCACACTCGGGACAAGAATGCCCTGCCCGGAACAGCCCAGCAGCGCCTAGATGGCTTTGGTCACGGTCCAGCGGTCGCCTACCCCCAGCACCACCTCCAGCCCCTGCGCCTCGGTGAGTCCCTCCCGGCCGCCGCTCCGCTTGCTTCTGTCACTGCGGCTCCGCTTTGCCTCAGCGGGTCCCGCCGAACGCCACTGCGCACGCGCCGTGCCGCTTCCCAGGCCTTGGCACTCGGCTGCCGCGAACCCCCCCACACCCTGCTGGGAGAGCCGAGCGGCGGGAAGTGCGGGACGTGGGGCTGGGTTCTCCATCACCCAGAGCGCCTAGCTCCTCACGGTCCTCGCCCCGGAATCTCCTGTGGCATGTCTTCCTTTGGCTTGAGCACTTCCTTTCGGGAATGAGTCATTCTTGCTTTTTCACCCTCCCCCTTCTCACACCTTCTGTTGCCGTGCTGCAGGGAGGGGACCCCTTTAACCACAGACGCATCCCCTTCCCCCCACCGCCCTCCATCCTCGTTTCTGAACCTGGTCCAGTCTTTGCACTCTGCACACCTTTCTTGGGACCCGCCGGGGTGTGTGCCTCCCGCACCCCACCCCTGTCAGTCACTTGCTGTCCTTTTGGGGTTCAGTGCTGCTGAGCCTTCATCAGACTGCTGAGCGGCAGTTACTTCTGGTTTTCTTCCTTCCCCTGAAGGGTAACCGTCGTCTCTGCTTCTTGAGCCCCGTACCTCTCCTCCGCGAGCTCCGAAAGCAGCTGGTGCTGCTTGAGGTCTGATGCCGATTCATTTCCATCTTGGGGACATTTATGCCTTACCTTCATGGCTCGTGATGGCTCTTGTTGGTGGGTCTTGTTGATACATCTCCTTACTTCAGATGGCTGTGCCCATGAAGCGTGCTACCAGAAGGCAAATACCCAGGAACCAGCCTTTTCCTGCTGGGTCCATCTTTGCCTTTGCTCCTAGCCCCACCCCCACTCCTTTACACTCTAGTCCCTTAGTGTTCATTATTGGAAAGACTTATTATTTTTTAAAGGAATTAAAATATTGCACCAATGGAACAAAATGGACTAAAAGAGAAAAAAAAAACAGACATGTGTTAGTGAGAAATAGCATGAAAATATGAACCACTAGGAACTTATCTTTGAACTTCTTACAGGCTCTTAAAACTGTGATGGTAGATTTAATAGTATCATGTTGCAAAAACGTATCCAATAAACATTGAACCACCTTCTACTGTGAGAGAAATTGGGTTGCTCCTAATCTTTATGTGCAACTGAAGTGGAAGCCGTGGTATCTTGAAAGCATGCTGGATCATGATTTCGATGTAGTTCCCTGGATTTCAAAATTCTGTTGTGTACTGTTGTGGTTTCTTCCCTTCTGAACTTGTTTTTGCAATTTGTGTGAAGTAATGGACAGGTAGATTCCCATTTAAGAAGTGATGATATTTCAGAGGTTAATTTATCTTGTGATTTTTTTTTTTTTCAGAAAGAAAAGCTGGGATTCTTGGGGAGAAGTTCAGGGAGGCAGTGTGCAGTGATTGTAAGGAAGAGTTTTCTGATACTGGAGGGCACAGCTTTGCAACATAGGTGGTGCTCATTGCTGGAGGAACTCGGGCAAAGCCTGGAGAAAGTGTTATAGAGAATTCCTGCAAATAGGGGCACGTCAGGTTCTTTCTAAGTCTTTATGGTTCTGTGATTTAAGAATAAATGGACTTAAAAAGTTGGTAAAACATTTTAGGACCCTCTGAAGACTTGTTTAGGTGAATGAGTAGTATACAGTAAGGCCAAGTCTACTTCATATGACTTCATTAGTCATAATTTGGCATACGTTTAGAATCCTGACATATGTTATCAGTTGTTTGTTTTAAGAACAATTTATTTATTTGAAAAGCAGATTGAGAGAGAGATCTTCATACACTGGCTCATTGCCATTCATTCCCCAAGTGGCTGCAAGGCCAGGGATGAGGCAGTTTGGTCAGGAGACAAGGGCTTCATCTGAGTCTCCCACATGGGTGGCTGGGGCCTATGTACTTGGGCCGTCTTCTGCTTCTTTTCCCAGGCACATTAGCCAGGGAGCTGGATTGGGAAGTGCAGCAGCTGGGGCACGAACTGACACCTATATGGGATCCTAGCACCACAGGTGATGGCTTAAGCTGCTGTGCCACAGACAGGCCCCCGATAGTTACTTTAGCATAGATAATTAAATTGATCATTTGGTAAGCCAAATTGTTGAGCTCAATAATTGGTACATCTGTCCTACTAGGCTGCTTGTGTCAGTGATTTATTCTCGTTCTTGGCCCTGCGTGCAAAGGAATCCTAGGACTGGTGTGTGTGAAGAACAGTCAGCATTGTTAGCATGACAGGTGAGCTAGTTACCCTGCACTTTACATCGTATTCCTATGTGACTTCATCCAGCACTGGGTTCATCTGAGTTGTCTCATGGTCCTTGTGCTGCAGTATTTCACTGCCATCTGACCTGCATATATTTTGCTTTTCTATCTCTTGTTGTGTTAATAGGTTGCATTGCTTTGAGAAAGGGAGAGAAAGTATGAGAGAAATAGTACCATAAAGACAATTGTTTTGTGAGTTGGGAAACTTAAAATTATTTTTGGTAAGCACTTAAAGCATTCTATTATGATTTTCCACTATAGGATGCAGAATACTTTAATACTGCCAGCTCCACAGCATTTTTTTAGGTATTAAACAATTGATTCATCATCTACTAATTGTGAATAACCATTATGGATAATAATTATGGATACATTGACCTGTCCGTCGGGATCATATTATCTGGGGCTGTCAGCAGTGAAGGAAAAAGAGATAAGAAGTGAAGAAGTAGAGAGAGAGGAGAGTTGGGGGCAGTGATGCTACCTGGACATGAATAGTCAGTTTGTAATGGCTATTAGTATTTTCTGAATACCAGTTAAGATAAACTCACTCATGGCAATGGTATCCAAATGAGTACTAACTATATCTGACATCTTCATTGTGCCAGGAATTAAAGGTCATAGGTATTAAAGAATGTTGCATAGCCTGTGAGTGGT